TGCAACTTTATTGCCTCCATTTGCGAGCTAATGAAGTGAGTTATGGCGTTAAGAATGCAAGGACCAAATGCCAGGGCCAGTAGGATCATGAGAAGAGGCCATGACCAGGGGAGTAGCCATGAGGCCCAATTCCAGATGCTGCTCCATCTGTTCCAGGAATTCATTAATTCCTGTCTTCTACATGTGTGTCCTGATCCTGTAATTGTTGAGCCATGTCTCTGACTATTCCCAACTGATTCACATAAAAACAACATTCTTCACTTAAGAAAAGGCAGAGCCAACAATCACCCACCAATGATGTGTTCCTAAGGTTAAGGAGGCAGAGAGTTGCATCTAGCAGGTTGTACAGTTGGGGTTCCAAGTTAAAGTTCCCTGTCCCAGAAGGAAGCCTTAATGGGGATCATGGTGGTGGCAGATCAATGTCTTTTATAGGCTCGTAGCCACCTAGGTAATCACTTCTGCATGGCCTTTCTCTATCTGTGGCTTTACCATTAGTAAACTGATATGGGGACAGGTGGACAGGTAGGGTGCCCAGACATAACGAGGCTTATTTCCACCCCCGATCATTTCATCATTCCATACCTTTAAGGGATCCCCATCTTTCTGCCAGCAAACTGTCTGCTCTATATTTCCTTTGTTCTTGCAGGACTCTGTCAGGCCTGTCAGTTTTCCCTTATTGTAAATTGTCCCTCATCTGGTACATTCAGAAATTGATGTGCTGCATGCAGGTGACAGGTATTGATAATAAGTGAAGGCATATTACAGTTTTCCCTGGAAGGAGAGTGGTTTTATGCAAGCTGAGCAGTCATTCTGGCTTCTAGATAGGATGACCTTAAAATGTAATATAGTCAGGAGGCAAAAACACATCAGAGACCTCATGCCTGAGCCTGGGGTCTGGGCTACAGATAGCACCAAACAGCAGTAAGACTTCCTACTATGAGGAGATAACAGGAGGCCAGCAGTAATTTCTGGCCTACATTCCAATCTTGGGGAGCAGTGACAGCCAGTCCTAGTGTGAACAGTATTGCAACAATGCTAATCAGTAGGATAGGGTAAGGGTGGCAGAAAAGGAGATACATTTATGTCCTGGTGGATGAATCCTTAGGCTCTGTCATACATTGATCAACCAGCTTCCGGGAGGTGGCTGGAGCCCTGGACAAAGCTGCTTCCATCTGTGAAGAGTTCGAGCTCTGGATCTAAGAGGGAGGAATCCATTAGGTCTGGCCTGCTAGAGTACACTTCATCCATCACCTCTTCACAATCATGATCTGGGGGCCCTTCCTCTGTTGGCAGGAAGGTGGCAAGGTTTAAAGTTTGTACAATTTCAAGCCTGACTCAAGGATTGTCACATAGGAGTCCTTGGTAATGGGCCATTCTGGAACTGGTCAGCCATTTATGACCTTGTCCATTCATTACAGCCATGACCGCATGGGGAACCTTAACATTAATGTCCTGTCCCAGGGTGAGCCTGCCTGTCAGCCTCCCTGATTAGGGTTACCATAGCAGCCAGGGCTCAGAGACATGGAGGCCACGCTGAGGCCACTGTGTCTAAACATTTTGACAGGTAAGCCACTGGCTGCTGCCATGGACCCACTGTTTGAGTGAGGACCCCCAGAGCTGTGTGACTTTTCTCACAAAGAGATTGAATGGTTGTGTTACATCTTGCAGCCTTTGCATAGAGGCTTTGGTTAACAGTCTCTTTATTTCCTGGAATGCCTTTTCTTGGTCTGGTCCCAAGTTTAGAAGGTCCTTTCCAGAGACTGCTGTAGCCTCATAACTTAGTTTGGCCAGGCTTGAATATCCATGTATCCAGATGCAACAGAATCCTGCTGCTCCCAAGAATTCTCAGACCTCCCTTTTGGTCTTCGGCTGAGGGATGGAGTAGATAATCTGTTTCCTCTCTGGACCCAGGGCATGTCATCCCTCTGAGATGATGAATCCAAGGAATCGGACCTCTTGCTGGTAAACTTGGCCTTTTTGTCAGGAAACTTTGTAGCCTGCCTCGGAGAGTTGGGCTAGCAATGCCTTTGTCCCCTCCCAGCATTTCTTCTGGTCATGGCTTGCCAAGAGCAAATCATCCACATACTGGAGCAAAGTGCAGCTTGGATTTTCTTCTGGGAAAGTTGACAAATCTGCTGCTAGGGCTTCCCTGAACAAGGTGGGTGAGTCCCTGAGGCAGTGTGGTCCAAGTCATTTGTGTTTTTCTTCCAGTATGGGGGTCTTTTCATTCAAAGGCAAACAGAGGCTGGCTAACTGGCTGGCTGCCAGGCTGAGGCAGAAGAAAGCATCCTTTAGGTCCAGGCAGGTGAACCAGCTTGCTTGTGGCAGTAGAAGGCTCAGGAGAGTGTAAGGATTAGGGACTACTAATTAGGGTGCAGTGTGATAACAGTGTGGTTGACTGCCTGCACGTCCTGAACAGGCCAGTAATCATCTCCTCCTGCCTTCTTGATGGGCAACAGTGGGGTGTTCCATGGCAATTGGCAGTCAATCAATATCCCTGCATCCTTCAGCTGCTGTAGGTGGGTCTGAATTCCTAGGCGTGCTTCCCATGGTACTGGATATTACCTCTGTCTGACAGGGAGAGCCCCAGGTTTAGGATCTACCATTATGGGTGCATGGTTGTGAACCAGGACAGGAAGCCCTTTTTCAGCCCAGACATCAGGAAACTCCTCCAGCAGGCAGATGGGCTTCGCCAGGTTCCCCTTTTCCTGGTGGTAGAGTTGCCATTCATCTTCTATAGGAACTGTCATTGCCATGATGAGGGCATTTGGTCCTCTCACTGTAAGGCTTGTAGACCCTCCCTGATTGAAAGTGATTTGGGCTCTGAGCTTGGTTAGTAAGTCCCTTCCCAGCAGAGGAATTGGGCATATGGTAAATACAGGAATTCTGAGTCACCTTGTGCCCTCCTAGTTGGCATGTCCCAGGGAGGGGGGCAGTCAACAGAACTGCTGGGCAGTTTGGGCTGCTAGCTCTGGCTATTGTGGCCCTGCGCTCAATGAGTGGGCCCACAGGCTTAGTGACCATTGAATGTTCAGCACCTGAGCCCACCATGAAGATCATTGGTTGGCCCCCTACTTTCATGTTGACCATGGGCTCTTGGGGGCCTAGTAGTAAGGAGCCTGGTCTTCCTTAGTCTGACTCAATTCCTGCTAGGCTGATGAGGTCCTGGGCCTCTGGTTCAGGTTGCCATCCTGTCTTCTTTCCTGGAGTAATTTTGGTCCCTTGCAATGGGGGCATTCATTCTGCCAGTGGCCAGTCTCCTTGCACTAGCACGTTGGTCTCGTTGCAGTGGAGTTCTTCCACTGGGTCTCCCCTTCCGTGGCAGAGCTGATGGCTTGGTCAGGTCTAACTTCCCCAGTGCTGCAGCCAATAAGGACACCTTGGCTTTCATTCTTTTATCAGTTTCTCAATTTCCTCATGTTCCCAGTTTACAAAGACTTTATTTGCCACTTCTAACAGCTGGGTGGCATTCATTCCAGTGAAACCTTCAAGTTTCTGAAGTTTCCAGCAAATGTTGGTGTGTGACTAGGCCACAAATACTGTATTGACTGTTTGCTGGTTTTCTGGCACTTCCAGATCAAAGGGGTGTACACCTGGAAGGCCTCACAGAGTCTCTCATAAAAATCAGTTGGTGCTACCTCTGGCTTCTGGATAACTGCTGCAATTTTGGACATGTTGTTAGGTCACTTAGCTCCAGCCCTGAGCCCCTGTAGGAGGGTGGTGCAATACTGAGTGAAGACCTGAGTCCCTCCTTACTCTGGTGCAGTCCAGCCACTAGCCAGTGGCTCAAGGGGCCAGAATGGTTGGTATCTCACTGGGGCCTCCAGAAATGTTGTGGAAATATTGTCAGACAAGAAACCAAGTGACACTCAGAGAAGTGGAGAACTCAGAGTTTATTTTACGCTGGCAGTCCCAGATGAGCTCACACTCAAAATTCTGGGCCTTGAACAATGAATTCATGGGATACTTAAAGGGCAGTCCAGGGCATCAGGTTACAAAGAATGTGTTAGGTGTTAATAGGTGAGCCAGTGCTGGGTTAGAGACCTGGGGTTGTTTAGACAAGAGCAGCAGGGGAGATCTGCTTTGGAAAGTTTATTACAGAAGGAGACAAAGAAAAGCAGTAATGGGCAATTATCTTTACATAGTGCCTTTGTCTCGACCCTGAACTCACTTTGTGACTTAACTAGCATTTTCTCATGTCCTGTGGCCTTGCCTGAGACAATCTTCTTATTCACAGGTACTGCGCTTTGTGCAGCCACACTCCGTCATGCAGGCATATGTGCGGGAGACTTCTGGGTGTTGATCAGCTCCCAAGCTCTCACTGAGGCCCACTTTGAGACAGAGGCCTGCAGAATCTGACTGGTGTGAGGACTGAAAGGGGATGTAATGGGTGCTGGTCCATCCCCAGGATAAACCTGGCTGTATGAAAAAGGCACCAGGGAGGGTAGAGAATTTAACAACAAAACCCAATTATAGTGTTTCAGAGTTTCCAGAGACTGCCTTTGTAAGAAATAAATATACATTTAATGTGCACCTACTATGCCTGCTAGGCATCATGCTAGGAAACCTAGATGTTCAGTTGTCTCAGCAGCCCTGTGAAATAGGAATTATTTCACCCATCGTACAGGCAAGGAAATAGCAGTACAGTGAAGAGAAGTGACTTGGCTAATCTACCTGTTGGGGAGGATGAGGCCGAGCGAGGACGGAGGTAGGATAATCTTAGCAGTATTCCATCTCTGTGTGCCCCACAGCACCGGCACAATGCCCTGGACTTAAGAACTTAGTAAATGCCCACTGAGTTGAGAATGGAAGGATTCACGTGCCAAAAGGGCATTTGGTAACGGGCAAATACCTGGCAGGGCTCTGAAACACCAGCTGTGTAGAGCCACAGCTGATGAAACATTCATTTAAACCTCCCCGTCATCTGGCCAGTAGCCTGCAGGCCTGTAGCTGGCCATGATCAAGGGCTGACTTGATGAGCTCTGGCTCTTTTATTTCAGGCACTCCACCTTCCAAAGAAGTGCCTGCTGGGAAGTACCCATTCATAGTCACCTCTGATGATGGGCGGCAAGTTCCTGTGGTCCAAGCCTATGCCTTCGGCAAATACCTGGGCTATCTGAAGGTTGAGTTTGATGAGAAAGGAAATGTCATCACTTCACATGGAAATCCCATTCTTCTAAACAGCAGCATTCCTGAAGGTAAGTGAAATTCAAGCAGGAGGGCCTATCAGTTCACAAGTTAAGTGGCTAGATTTTCCTCTCCCCTCCCTTCTTTTTTTTTAATGTTTTCTATAATACTTTTGAAAAATTTAGCCTTCCTCATAAGATTGGGAAATTAAAAACTCACAATATTCAAATCCACATTTGATTCTCCAAATCTCTCAATATTGGACTCTGTGTGTTGCTTCTTCTGCCTTTTGAAAGCTTGATCCTGACATGCAAAAGCCACTCCCAGCTTATGTCCAGGGGAAAGCTGATTACTGAAGCAAAGGGGCTCAAATTGGGCAGTGTAGGACCAGGTGCTCAGTTGCTATGGACCTCGGCTTATCTATCAGATAAGGAAATACATTTTTACACTACTCATTTTCATATAGGCTGCATGAACACACTCCTATGCTTGTCTCTAGTACTTTTCTGTTTACCATGATTGGCTCAGGAAGGATAGGCAATGAGGTATCACCACACCCAGGAGAGCATATTGCTATGACCCAGACCTCTCAGTAGCCAGAGGGGAGTGTACCCAGGACCACACACTCCTCAGCAGACCCTTTTTACTTACCCTGGAGTTTTCAGAGCCCCTAACATCACCATCAATGCCATTCCAGATGGGCTGACAGGTGCCCACCCTGTGATGTGGTGAGTTGATGCTAAGATGTTCAACACATCCACACATTCAGGTCCATTCGAGGTCTTATTGCCAGGAAACAAAGCAGATATTCCTAAGGAAATTTCATGGTTAAAACTAAAATGTACAGCCAGGTGCTGGTGGCTTATGCTTATAATCCTAGCCACTTGGGAGGCAGAGATCAGGAAGATCATACTTCCAAGCCAGCCTAGGCAAATAGTTCATGAGACTCTAGCTTGAAAAACCCCTTCACAAAAAAGGGCTGGTGGAGCAGCTCAAGTTGTAGAATGCCTGCTTAGCAAGTATGAGGCCCTGAGCTCAGTTCAAACCCCATTACCATCAAAAAAAGACAAAACTTGAAATATACACACACACACACACACGGTAAAGAATTGAGTAGTCACAAGCAGGTAAGCTCTATAGATGATGTTTGATTCCTTCTGCAGAACTTACCTATTGTAAGATTTGCTTCAACTAGAGGGTTCCTCTTTCCCTCCCACCTTCAATCCTTCCTTTTTTCTTTTCCTTCTAGATCCAAGCATAAAAGCAGATATTAACCAATGGCGGATAAAATTAGAAAATTATTCTACCCAGGAATTGGGAAAAACAATCGTCTACCTGGATGGCACCACTCAATCATGCCGCTTTAGAGAATGCAACATGGGCAACCTGATTTGTGATGCTATGGTAAGTTGTTTGCAGGAGCAGAGGGCCTGTGCCTTGGGAGGAAGAAAGGAAGAGGAGAGAGGAAGGAAGATGCATGCAACAAGGGACAAACTGAAGGGGCAGAACTGGGGATTTTTACAAATTAAGTCCTCAGACAAAAACTTGGCTGGTTTTACACTGAGAATGAGCAAAGTAGCTGAACCGGATTGGGTGACCATCACGTTATTGCTCTATAAGAACTAAAACTTTCTGGGTGTGGTGGCTCACTCCTGCAATCCTACTACTTGGGTGGCAGAGGTCGGGTGGATTGCCGTTTGAGGCCACTCCAGGCAAAAAGTTAGCAAGACTAAAACTTTCTGTGTTCAGTGGCTCATGCCTGTAATTCCATTTCTTCGATGGCAGAGATCAGTTTGAGGTCACTCCAGGCAAAAAGTTATCAAGACTCAATAATAATTATTATCTCAACCAATAAGCTGGTTAAAAGTTTGTCTGAATTTTGGATGTTTCTTGCTGTAAAATGATCTGAAGACATAACTTTCCTGGCCAAAGCCAGATCACCCGTAATGAGCCCTTGTCTGGAGCGTTCTGGTTGGCATGAGATCTTGTGTTGAACAGGCTCCAGTGCACTTCTGCCCTGGAAGAGCCTGAGGGGAGCAGTCCCGCAGGCCAGTCCACACCAGAAACATCTTGACACCAGAGCCAGGCTCAAGAGTCTTGTTTGCTAAGGCCCTGTAACTTGAGGGGAAAGGTTTTAGGAGATGGGGCTGAAAGTTCCCTATCTCTAAGAGTCTTGACAGGGCACTGGTCACAATACCATAATTTTGCTTCTGACTAACAGAGGATATATAGCCTAAGAAAATAAATAGATAATAACTGTCTTATGACTAATAGCATATAAAACTACTTCTGACTAATTACAGTTGGGAAATCTCTGGAAACACAGGTGCAGAGGAAGAGCAGTTTTGCTTCCTCCGTAACACTAATCAGATTCCTAGAACTGATCCCAAGGAAGTAGACCCAGAATGACTAATGTGCATTTGTGCTATTGTAGATTAACAACAACCTTAGACACCCAGACGATATGTTCTGGAACCATGTGTCCATGTGCATTTTAAATGGAGGTGGCATCCGGTCGCCCATTGATGAGCAGAACAATGGTATGCTCCCCAGACCCAGCTCCCTCAGCACCCGTGTTCTCTCTGATCTGCCTCCCTCTGCAGCTCCTGCCTTGGTTATGCCCCTATGCAGCCTTAGCATGCCCTGCCTCAGCTGTCAGCCATGTACCAAAATGCTGTTCTTTAAGTTTTGGTTAGCAACTACTCAAGTCTAGCCCAGTGAACACGCATCTGCTTCTCTATGTGTTCACACAGAGATGGGTGAGTAGCTATGGTTAGCAGAACCCAATCTTGGTCTAAATTTCTGACTTGCAAAGTCAAATATTAATTGCTGCTGATTTATACATAGTCCATTCTGACACTTGAAAAGAGAAAGGCAAAATCATCAATCTTCTGTGGTGGAAAAGACCTATCACTGGATAAATTGTTATTTTAGTATATTTACAGATAACCAAGATTCTGTCATAAAGTAAAACAAATCGACTAGACAGATATCCAGCCATACTTTGTAGCCCTGATACCCTATCAAACCCAGTGAGTATCAAAATAAGGCCTCAAGCTCATTTCATTGTCAGACAACAGAAACAGATGGCTGCCTGTCTGGGGGAATGAGCAATGCATAACCACCTAATGGAGATCCAGCCCAGAGCCAGGAGACTTGAGGCTGAGCATAGTGGACTTTTGAACCATAATCTTTAGTTAGCCCTTGTCCTTTGCCTAGTGGTGGAGGGCAGGGCTCAGGTTCGAAATCCATTCCTCCCCTAAGTTTGCCTTAGCTCCCTCACCTCCCTGTGGAGGAACTGATCTCAGGATAAATGTTTAATCTAGCTGTTTTCCTTCTTGCCTCATCTGTGACTACCGTCAGGCACAATTACCTGGGAGAATCTGGCTGCTGTATTGCCCTTTGGAGGCACATTTGACCTGGTCCAACTAAAAGGCTCCACCCTGAAAAAGGCTTTTGAACACAGTGTACATCGCTATGGCCAGTCCACTGGAGAGTTCCTGCAGGTGGGCGGTAAGTCACCTATCCTGTGGGGTCAGCTAGCCAAGGTGATGTCATATTTCTTGCTGGTCAGCTCAGCTTCCTGATAACCAGGACCTCTGTGGTCAGGCTTGTTTGGGTTTTCCCCCACATGGACACCAGTGTTTTCTTTCAATGCCTATGGACTCCCAGAGCCACCAAGATTAGGTTGGGGTCATAGCTCCAAGTGCCTGGTAATGAGCAATATTTGTCAAATGTGATTTGTACATCAGATGGACCCTCATGGGTCAGCTGCACTGAGGTCTTTCTATTAAAATCTTAGTTGTTTAAGCATTTAAGGGGTTTAAAAAAAAAACAAAAACAACTTTCTGTACCGTGGTATTTGTTAATGCCTGGAACCATACCAAGGTTCAAAGAACACTGGCATGAATAAGGCTGACTGAGGATAGGAGAGAGAGCCTCTGATGCAGCACACTGGAATACCTGATTCTAGTGAGCAGAGAGAGTTCTTAACCTCCCAGAGTACAGTGGGAAAACCTGACCTGCATAGGTCAGATTGTGGGGAAGACAAGATGAAAATGAATGCTTCCCATATTGCTGAGGACATCTGAAAGGCTTTGTCCAACAATTCCACACTCCAGTGAATTAATCCTTAAATTAATTATCTCAGAAACCATATTTTTGCCTCACTTTTTGACTTTCAGTCATGGCCACACTTTCTGGGTGTTAGTGCTTTGGCAAACCCTCCCTGTGCAGAACATACTGGTGTTGGGGCTCAGTAGCTGTAGTGGGGTCCCCTGGCCTGCTGCCTGTGGTATGGCCCCAATATCCAGCATTTTCCCAAGAGGAAGTTGAGGAAACAGCAGTGTTCCAATGCTCTAGTATAGTGCTGGGTACTTGCATGCTTTGTGAAATTAGTCTAATCCCAAATTATTGCATTATAGTTTTCAAAATTGTAGCACATATTCTGTGCTCCTCGTCTATTTTTTAACAAAGTTATTGAATCAATTTACTGGACCAATTAATTCAGGAGTTTAAAGGGGAAAAAAAGAGATGTGGTTCCTCCCTGCAAAATCACCATCACCCATTTTGATTCTCAGCAAGGTTATCTTCCATTGGTTCTCACATCCACTGAAGAGACCCAAGGATAAAGCTAATCAAGAAGGGATGGCTACAACATCACTTCCATTCCCTTGCTAAAATTTCACCCAGGCTCAAACTAAAAGAGAGCCAAGCCTAGAATCTCAACTCCAAATCTTGACCCAAATCCCTTTCTTAGCTAGCAGAAGTCTCACTTTGGAACCAATAAAAACACACAGACTAACTTCTTTTCCAGGAATCCACGTGGTGTACGATCTTTCTCGAGAACCTGGAGACAGAGTGGTCCAATTAGATGTTCTTTGCACCAAGTGTCGAGTGCCCAGTTACGAGCCTCTCAAAATGGATGAAGTATATAAAGTGATCCTCCCAAGCTACTTGGCCAGTGGTGGAGATGGATTCCAGATGATAAAAAAGGAATTACTAAAACACGACTCTGGTAAGCACAGGGTCTCTCTCTCCCTCTCCCAAAGGTACTCAGGAAGAACAGAACTAGGAGGAGAAGGGGAGCTACTTGTAGTGCCAGGAGGACAAAGCCAGAAAACACATCCTGTCCCTCTGTTGCTGTCTCCCTCCTGCTTTGCTTGCTCGAAAACAGAAACACATCATTTAGTAATACCCTTTCCCTCCCCAGCACACGGGCACATCCAGCCAGCCCCAGGGCAGATCTGTTTTTAATAAAAAATGATTTACGACTCTTTTAACTACATCTAGGCATCTACTTAAGTTGTGAAATATAGGGTATAGGCATGGCTCTAATATGGTAGACCATCTGCCTCCTAGCAAGTGGAAGGCCCTGAGTTCAAACCCCAGTACCACACATAAACACACACACACACACATACAAATGTGAAATATACATGAGTTTTGCATTTATAGAAAAATCACACCTCTGGAACTTTAGATTGGACACAGAAAACTAACATGATAAATAATCTAAATTTTCTTGAAGAAGCGTTTGTTGTAAATAGTAAATAGTAGGAGCAGATGGGTAAGTGTCATTCTTACCCACAGTGGGTTGATGGAACAAATGATAGAAACGACCATACCTGACATCAGTTGATATTTCTGACAACACTGAGTTTCATTATACACCACTTCTCACTTTCGGAAATCTAGTTGAGAGCCAGCTCATGTGCACAAAGTCCTCTAACATAGAACACTACTTCCCTTTGGCTTCCCAGGGCAGACAGCAGCATGCTCACAAGATATGTGCACAGTTTCTCTACATCCCCGGGAGCTCAACCAGGTTCCTCCTCAGCCATACCATGGTGGGCCTGCCATTTTAGCTGCTCATTCCAAAGTCAGTGGAGGGCAGAGCCAGGCCAAAAGAGGCAGTCCTTCCTGGGAAGAATAGTCACTTCTGTCCATCCCATAATAGAAAATGGAAGAGCATTCTAAAGCCCCACACGACATAGAGAGACTGGTGACTGGGCACCAGCCAAGCCCACAGTGATGTCTGTTGGCCAGAAGTGGCTTCAGCAGAGGACCAAGGAAACCCTGGACCTAGGGTATTCAACCCTGGCTATATATTAGAATTACTGAAAGAGCATTTTAAATTACATACCAATGCGTTGGTCCAGCTATTAAGAGGTTCTAATTGAACTGAGTTAGGACTAAATCTCTTCCAGTGATTCCATTGTACACTCAAGGGTGATAACCACTGAAGAGCTCTTTTTTTAAGCAGTGGAATAATATTTTTTGCTTTCTCTTTGTGTGTGTGTGTGTGTGTGTGTGTGGTACTGGGATTTTGAACTCAGGGCCTTGGCGCTTGCTAAAGAGACGCTCTACCACTTGAGCCACTCTGCCAGCCCTTGGAGTAATATTTTTTTTTTAATAAAATTCTGTTGGGTTCTATGGGTTTGTTGTAGTTCTCCTCTCTTTTGGAAATGAAACCTCCATTGTCCCTTCATCAGTTACGTGAAAATAATTTGGAGCAGGTAAGCAAAAGGAAGTGTCTTTTATGTCTCATCTAATTGCACATGACCCAGGTCCCCAATGTTCTTGGTTTTGGAGTAGTTCAAAGGCTATGGTATCAATGACCTGTCTTGAGACATCTTAGAACTGAAACTAACTCTACTCCTCCCAATTACTCAATACTAAACAACAGGCACATTTTACATCTGGCCATAAAAAAGCAATCAAATCCTCTGCACTTAACATTACCAGTATTCTTATAAAAGCAGTGCTTTCCTTTAATAATTACAAAAGGCTTTAGAGAAAGACATTGTTTAGTGCCCCTCCCTCTCTTACTATTAATTGATAATTACTTTTTTTAAGTTCTTTTTTTTTTTTTTTGGCTGTACTGGGGTTCAAACTTAGGGCCTCACACTTGCTTGGCAGGTGTTGTACCACTTAAGCCACTCCACCAGCCCGATAATTACTTTTTCTATAGTTAAAATAATGTATGTATTTTTCCAGGTGACCAAGATATCAGCGTGGTTTCTCAATACATCTTAAAAATGAAAGTAATTTATCCAGCAGTTGAAGGTCGGATCAAGTTTTCTGCAGGAAGTCATTACCAAGGAAGCTTTCCTTTAATATTTCTTTCATTTTTGGCAATGATCCTTGTTTTATACCAATAGCCAACAATTCTTCATACCATTAATGTGAAACTGCATTTTTTCCCAGTAAGATTCAAATCTGCCTTTTAGGACCTGGCTTTGTGACTTAGGACACACCATCCTCATAGAAATGCTCTAAGCAAAAAGCTTTGTGCAAGGAAGAAACTGACCTCATTTCTCATGGCCTGCAACTTAGTGAGAAGGTACAGAAAAATTAAATAAGGCTTTTTGAGAAGAAAGCCAAGTGGATTAGTTTACATATGCAGAGATTAGCAGAATTTTATTAACAACCTAAACTATGTAAATAATTCCTCTCCTACATATTCATTTCTAATCCATCAAACAAGTTACATTTACGTAGAACTTTATTATTTACAACAGGGTTTTAGGCACTTTGTTTGATTTAATGCTTATGGTTTTCTTTGATTGTAAGACAGGTGTTCTGTTAACTTATTCAAGGCCAGATAGCTCAGATCCAAGACCTGGATCTAGGTCTTTTGACCTCAAGTCCAGCACTCTTTCAACTATATTAAGTTGCTGTTCAGAACAATACTGAAAGGTCTCCTCTTTTCAGAACTATCAACAACCCAAGATCATGGATGGCAAGTTTCTGCTGTATTTCTGCTCTATACATTTTCCTTTTTGGCTCCTGTTGTAATAGCAAGTTTAAACACAGGACACCATTCCCTCTTGCATCACCTTGTGCCTTTGATGAGTCAGGGAACAAACTGAAGCAGATAATGGAAAAGGTCATGTTCAAAAGGCAGTCAAGGGGCAGGGGACACAGGGGAGGGAAGAGAAAACACCAGGACTGGTTTACATTACAGAAGAGCAAGAGCTAAAGGGCATTGAAATGTGTTAAGCAAATATTTGCTAAGGAGTAGCAGCATGGAGCCTGGCACATACCATTGGCTATTGTCAATTTTATGAAATTCCCTGGGCTCTGCTTCCATGCTCTTTCCTGCTTCCGAAAATGAAGGTGCCATGAGAAGGGAACCTTCTAAAATAAACTGTAACTCAAAACCTGCACTTCTCCCTCCTCACGATGCCAACACTGTTATTCTTGTTATGCCACACGCATCATGGAAAATCCAGAGTTCCAGAAGACAGAGTTGATTTTAAAACGTAGTATGCATAAGATGTCTGAAGTCATTCTGCCTCAAAATCAGAGCAATCGCTGTAAATCATTTTCAAGTCCAAATCTGAGAACACCTGCAGACTAATGGTGGGCTCCCAGGGAGTGCCCAGAAAATACTCAGACTGATGAAATAATTTATGCCCCAAAGCAAACACTCATGTAAGGTAGTAGTGAGAGGTGAACCTGCTCGACACTACATCAATAATTCAACATGAAATGGGAAACTTCACCTTGAAAATCACAAGCAAACAGCAGCTAAAGGCTTGGAAAGGGAATGTTTGTTTCCTAGTGTTTACAAATATTAAGTACTCGATACAAAATACACTTTTAAGTTTCATAACACTTTTATGAAAGTTGTTGCAGTAAAATAATTCCCCCAGCCCTGTGAATCTGCAGATTAGTTATAATACAAATAAGATTGTTAAATGAATTACAGAAAGGTATATTTGGGATGTATTTTTTATGCTCGGCCAGTAAACTAAACCTTGTTAGTATAATTTTTTAAAGAACAGTTTTGTAATTTTTCTAAATATATGTATATGTATTGTTCAGTGGTATTGAGAAATAACCTTGGACCACTTTGCAATTGTGGATTACAAACAATAAAATTGAAAATATGCTCTTTGTTGGTTGTTTCCTCTTTCAATCAAACACCTGTAACCCAAGAAAAACTCTTTTTGACAATTTTTCACTGGTCTCATTTCTCTTGATCATAAACCCTTTACTATCCTCCTACCCTCCTCCCACTCCAAAAGTGAAAAGAAAAATGCATGCAATTTTTTTTTAGTGTAGTACTGTAGTTTGAACTCAGGGCCTTGGTGCTTGCAAGGCAGGTGTCCTACCACTTTAGCCACACCACCAGCCCATTGGCTATTTTTGAGATAGAATTTTATATTTACGCCCAGGCTAGACTGGACCACTATCCTTCTATTTATGCTTTCTGTCTAATTGGATGATAGAAACACACCACCAAGTCCAGCTTTTTATTGGCTGACATGGAGGTCTTATGAACTTTTTGTCCTGGCTGGCCCCAAACAGCCATCCTCCCAATCTCTGCCTCTTAAGTAGCTAGGATTACAGGCACCACAGTGCTTGCCTGCATGCAATTTTTAGGCAGGAGAGAAAAGTAATTTTTAAAGACTACTAAATGTTCTGGCTTTGATATACAGAACCTAATGTAAAAATGGGTTTAAGGACTGGTGGCATAGCTCAAGTGAAAGAGTGTCTGCCTAGTAAGCGGAGGCACTGAGTCCAAACCCTACTACTGAAAAATGAAAAAGAAATGTGATGGAAATAAGCTGGTTTATTCTTAGAGGTGTGGTTAGAGTGCCTGCTTTGCAAGCATGAAGCCCTGAGTTCAAACCTCAGTCCCACAAAAAAAAAAGAAAGAAAAAAAATGGTTTTGAGGCCCATACTGATTTCCTAAAAATGAAATAATCAAGGTAAAGTTGTATACTTTAATATGTCTGAACTGATTGCGTGCCTATTAATCTCTTAAGTATTATGATAATTCAATGGGTTTGTTTTGTTACACCTTAATTAGTCACATTAAAATCATTTGCAGAGCCAGGCACCACTGGCTCATACCTGTAATCCTAGCTATTCAGGAGACATACAGCTGGAGGATGGCGGTTAGAGGCCAGCCTCAGCAAAAAATGAGACCCTATCTCAAACCTACTCAACACATAAAAGGGCTAGCAGAGTGACCCACTTGGTAGAATGTCTATGAAGCCCTGAGTTCAAACCCTTGCACTGCCAAAAAAAAAAAGCAAAAGAAAACCTTATACCAACCTCATAGTTATCTTAGCCCGTTTGGGTTGCTTTAACTCCCAAAAAGGGTAGATTAAAAACACCAAAAATTTATTTCTCATAGTTCCAGAAACTAGAAAGTCCAAGATTGAGGTGGCAGCAGATCTGATATCTGGTGAGGGCCTGTTTCCTGCTTCACAGATGGTTCCTACTTGCTGTGTCCTCACATGGTAGAAGAGGCAAGAAAACTCTGGGGTCTCTTTTATAAGGAAACTAATCATGAGGGCTCTGCCCTCATAGCTCTGTTGCCTACCAAAGGCCCAATCCTAATAGCATCATGTTGGTTATTAGAAGCATAGTCAATCTTGGGAAGGTGCAGTAGTGGCTTTCAGAAGTTTGCCACAAAAAGTAGGCTGAGTCAAAGTCTCTTAGAAGAAAGTTTAAGTTGCTAATAATTGTCCAGTAGAAAAAGTTTCTCCTTCAGGGACTATAGTCTAAAGGATATATGACTTGGCAAGCAACTGTAACTGGTTGTCAAAATTAATTAAGAAAAAGTTCCTGTATCAGTATTAGTTTCCTGGGATGCCATTCAAAGAACCATGAACCAGAGGGCTTTAATCACAGAAATATACTGTTCCACAGTTCTGGAACTTAGAAGTCAGGTCAAGTGGCAGGCTGTGGGCTGTGAGGGAGAATCTGGTCCATGTCTCTCCTCTAGCATCTGACATCCTTAGGAATCCTTGACTTAGCAATAGTGTTCTCTTCCTGTCTTTACATCCTTTTCCCTCTGTATTCTTCTGTCTCTTCAAATTTCCCCTTTTTAAAGGCCATCAGTCACAAAAGATAAGGCCCACTCTTATGACTTCATTTTCCTATTTCCAGTTAAAGTCACAATCATAGTTATTGAGGTTAGGACTAAGTCCTGTCACAGGACTTCAACATCTTTTTGGAGAATGCAGTTTAATCCATATCATTGGCTCTAGCAGCCCTGAGGAAACCAGCATCTTCTCTAAGTTGCAAACGAAAAGTTCTATTCAATGTGTGTGTGTATGTGTGTGTACATAGATGTGTGCTTATGTGCTGAAAAAACATTTTAGGTTCCTTTGGCTCACTATCACTATAGTAAAACATACGGAATCAGTTCTCCAATCAAAAGTCCAGTCAGAAAGTGGAGTTTTAGGCTTTTATAACAAATGGTGGGAATCTCGAGTCTCTAGTAAGTAGTATTTCTGAGGCTTCTAAGAACCTGAATTAAATACTTCATGAAAAACATTTAATTGACAAATAAGCTAGCTAAGGTATGAAACCAATAAAATCTGACCCATGTCAAGGATGCCCGGCATATTAAAAATAGCAGTGAAAATTATGCGAGGCTCATTGGCCATTAGGACAGGTGGCTGCAAAAGCAAAACCTCTGTAAGTACAGACAGTATCAGAAGGATATTAGCTAATTCCTAGAATCATCAAGGAGCTTGGAGAGTCAGCTTAAAACAACAGACAGCAAGCCAGGAAAGTGAGGCATGACAATCTTGGTACACAGCCATGGCAATGCACATCTTGGATCAAGGCCATACTGCTGCCGGGCTCACCTCTGCTGCAGCTAACACCTTCAGGGTCTTTGACTAGATTGAGATTCCTCCAAATAAGATGCTCTTATTCTAGACACTAGAAACCATGAAATGGCCCCTATGAATTCGCTGAGAATTTTTAGTTACAAAAAATATGCATAAAATGATTTTAAAAACATTATTGTTTTAAAAACTATACTGAATTATTTTTATTAGTGTATATTAGTTATATAAAGGGGTTTCATTGTGATATTTCCACACATGCACATAATGTACTTTGAATATACTCCTATGTTGTGCTGTCTTCCCCCCTCCCTTATTTAAACTGATGTCTTTATATTCCCTTAACCCCCCCTCCCTCTTTACCCACTTTTTAACAGTATTTGGCAGGTCATCAGGTAGGTAGATAGATAGATAGATGATAGATAGATAGATAGATAGATAGATAGATATGAAATGTCCTTTGATCCTCATCACCCCCACAAAATACTCTCCTTTCCCCCCTTCCTCCTACTGATCCCTGTCCCAGAGAATCTTGCCTTTGCACCATCACCACCATCATCATCATCATCATCAACAGCAACAAAAGCATTTTAGGTCTAGATTACACTATGAGCAAAAGCATGCAATATTTGGCTCTTTGCACATGCCTTGTCTCACTCAACGTGATGATAATCTAATTCCATTCATTTTCCTACAAATGATATAATTTCATTCTTTTTTTACCTATTAAAATTTCATTTATTTTTTAAATCATTTTTACATTTATTCACATGTGTATTCTTTAGGATTATTTTTGCTGTTTGGGGCTTTCTATGTTCCATATGAATTTTAGGACTGATTTTTCTATTTCTGTGAAGAATGATCTTGGGATTTTGATGGGAGTTTTACTGAGTCTGTAGATTGCTTTTGGTAGTATAGCTATTTTCACAGTATTAATTCTACCAATCCAGGAACATGGAAAGTTTTTCCATCTTCTAGTGTTTTCTTCAATTATTCAGGGTTTTAAGAGTAGGAAATACTCTGGAGTTAGTAGGTATAGGTAAGAACTTTCTCAATGAAACCCCAGCAGCACAGCAACTAAGAGATAGCATAGATAAATGGGACCTCATAAAACTAAAAAGCTTCTGTTCATCAAAAGAAATGGTCTCTAAACTGAAGAGAACACCCACAGAGTGGGAGAAAATATTTGCCAACTATACATCAGACAAAGGACTGATAACC